GCCCGCCCCATCCCCCGCACGCCCCCAGACATGCGCCCCCTCTAGTAGGGAGGGGCTCCCCCCAATCTAATGACCAGCTCCGATCCAGACGCAATCTCCGGATCGGCCCGTGGACCTTGCCGTGCGTTCTGTCTGATATGTATATATTGCACTTCTTCTTTTTTTTTAATAGAAAAAGAAAATGGGTCAAGATTTCTCTTTATTTCCTTTCTTAACAATTTTCCTTTCTGCCCCTTCCCAGCCCGCCCCCGCCCCCGCTGTCTGGTCTCTGAATTCAGGGAGCAGCTCACACGTGGGGAGCGGATTCATGTGGACCTTGCCGTGCGTTCTGTCTGATATGTATATATTGCACTTCTTCTTTTTTTTTAATAGAAAAAGAAAATGGGTCAAGATTTCTCTTTATTTCCTTTCTTAACAATTTTCCTTTCTGCCCCTTCCCAGCCCGCCCCCGCCCCCGCTGTCTGGTCTCTGAATTCAGGGAGCAGCTCACACGTGGGGAGCGGATTCATTTAAGACGGGGGGATTGGATTTTGATCCATAATTGGGGGTGGGAGTTGGACCTGAACTGGACCCATGCTGAGCCTGGGATGGGGTGGGGAATGGGGTTTTTGCATGAGCTGTAGCTGCCGTGCACCCCCCACATGCCCCCTCCGTAGCTGGTCCCATTGAACTAAAGCTGCGATGCGGCATTTCACAGATACGGTTTATTTTCTCTGTGTAGATAGTCAAATTGTGTTGAACGCTGGGGTGGGAGGGGGGTGTTATGTTAGGACTGGGGGGTGGTTTTTATGGGTGGGGGGGTGTAGTTAGGGGGACCTAGTCCCCCTCTTCCTCCAGATATAAAGCAACAGGTTTTAAAAATATCTCGAGCTGTGTAATTGGAAAGATGGCAATGCTGCCCTCATAGGGGTGGGGGTGGGAGTCTGTTCATGGAGTAGCCACTGGGCAGTTTTATTCCCATCTTGCTTGACAGGGTCTGCTGGACCGGGTGATTGGGAGGTTGGGGCATGAGGAGCCTAGTCCCCCTCTTCCTCCAGATATAAAGCAACAGGTTTTAAAAATATCTCGAGCTGTGTAATTGGAAAGATGGCAATGCTGCCCTCATAGGGGTGGGGGTGGGAGTCTGTTCATGGAGTAGCCACTGGGCAGTTTTATTCCCATCTTGCTTGACAGGGTCTGCTGGACCGGGTGATTGGGAGGTTGGGGCATGAGGAGCAAAACATGAAGTTATGACAACATGCATGACGGTCTATGGTGCAATGTGGCTTAGGGGGCTACTTCCTGTGATGTCATAGGCTATGTCCTGTGACTTCACAAGTGTCTACCAGAGAAGTAGTATGCTGCTTCCTGTGAGGTGGGAAGCTACTTCCTGTGATGCCACAGGCTACATCCTATGACATCACAAGTGTCTACCAGAGAAGTAGTATGCTACTTCCTGTGAGGTAGGAGACTACTTCCTGTGATGCCATAGGCTACATCCTGCGACATCACAAGTGTCAATCAATGATGTAGTATGCTACTTCTTGTGGTATAGAAGGCTACTTTTTGTGGTGTCATAGGCTACATCCTGTGACATCACAAGTGTCTATCGGTGATGTAGTATGTTACTTCCCGTGGTGTAGGAGGATATTTCCTGTTATGTAAACGCTGGCCTGTAGCATGTCAGGCTGCTTCCTGTGAACTCATAGGCTCCTTCCTGTGACATCAAAGGTTGCTTCCTATGATGTCATAGGCTGCTTCCTATGATGCATCCAGGTGTGGTTTTATTTTCCTTCTGGGCTGTTGTGCTAATGTGGGTGTCACACCTGCCTATTGAGGAATCCCTTCCCCCACATGCGCCGGGAACGTGCGCGGCAGAGCCCTTCCCGCCAGAGCAGCGACAGGGCAGGGAGCCGAGCCATCCCTGCCACTCACACAGGCCCCAGGGGCTGGCACGGCCAGGGGACCGAAGCACCAGCCAGCTGCCTCCCTGCAGCGACCACTCAGTATTAAAGCCCGACGGGGGCTGTGGGTATTTTCTCAGCATGGGGATATTTTCTCAGCATAAGATTTCAGCATCTTATCAACCTTTGAACCTCACAACCTCCCCTCCCCCATTGCTCCAGGGAAGGAACGTTGCTCCTTGCCCTCTTCCTGGCCCCTCCCCCGGATCTCCTGGAAAGATCGTGCAAGTATTATTGCCCCGAGCCGGTTGGTTTGGGCAAATTCAAGGGCTGCTGGCAGCACGGCCTGTGGGCAGCGCAAACAGGACCTGGCTTCACATATCAGTGACTCTGGGCAGTGTTGCGAGAGCCAGATGCCCAGTAGCTCCAGGCGCGTGCCGGCGTATCCATTAGCCTCTGGGCTAGCACAGGGATCAGGCCCAGTAGCCCTTGGGCTAGCGCTGGGGCATCCAGGAGCTATTCTGGGATCAAATCAGAGGGGCCATTCTCCTTGCCATGTTTACAGCTGCCCCCTTTTTAATGCACCACTTTTCCCAGCCCCACCCCCAAAATGTTTTCCTTTTGACCAGCTCCCACCACTGTGTGCACTGGCTTTGATTGTAGGGTTTCTCCGGAGTGCCCCGCTGCAGGCTGGCTTGTTATTGTAGGGTCTTTTGGAAACTTCTGGCTGCACAGGCTGGTTTGTTATTGTAATGTCATTCATGTGTGTTAGGATCCTTACACTGGCTTGTTATTGTAGGGTCGCTCAGGAGCCCTGGGTTGTATACGCTGGCTTGTTATTGTAGGGTCGCTCAGGAGCCTTGGGTTGTATATGCTGGTTTGCTTCCAGAGGGTTGTTTGTGAGCCTGGGGCTGCGTTGGCTGGTTTGTTATCAGAGCAGTGGGCAGGAATCCTTTCCACTTAGAAGAGGAAAGAGTAAAATAACCATATCGCCAGTGAGTGTCTCTGTGCCGCTGCCGTGCTCGGAGAGACCCCCAGCGCCCAGACCCTGTGCCCGGGGAGGCAGGCTGTCGGCTGGTGCTTCACAGGCCCAAATGCAGACACAGCCTCTGGAAAGTTCCCTGCCTCCCTCCGAGCCCTGCATGAACCACATTGCCCTAGAGAACTCCCCTGCCCCACAGACCACCCCCCACCTGACCCTGCAGCCCGAGGGAGCCCGAACCCCCTTTAGCATTGGCACTTATCCCATTATCCTCCCAGCCTCAGGCACTTACCCCATAACACCCCGCCCAGAGCCCACCGGACTCCCTCCCCACCATGTTGAGCTGTGGATTTGTGCAATATTTTACCCTGACCCCCGGCTGGCCGTCAGCCCCGGCACAAGCGGCTTTCCATGGCACTTTGCAGTCTCCAGAGCTCACCGGCAAGGCACTGAGGGAGCGGCTGTCTCCATCTTGCTCTGGCAGGTAGACAGTCGGATCAGAATGGGGACAGACTCTGGACGGGGCTAGTGGTGGGGCTGGGATTTGGGGAGGGGAGAGGAGTCCCTCTGTGTTCGTTGGCAGAGATCAATCGTTTTCCATTTGTTCGTGGGGGAGCGGGGAGGGGGGAGGGAAGGGGGTTTGTAACCTTTTAAACTAGGGAACAAAACAAATGTGAAAATATTTACTACTTAAAAGGAAGCAATATTTAAGTAGCATCTTGCACTGAATCTTGGAGCTGGCATGAGAGGCAGAGGCAGGAAAACCGGCCTTTTACAGGGGCCGGGCCAGATCTTGTGCTGGGGTAAATTAGCCTTGCTCCTCCCACGTGGGGAGCTCCGCCCATTCCTGCCAGCTGTGGGAGCAGCCCGCATGGGTCTGGGAACTTGCGTGTCGAACAAAACGTGCTGCTGCAGTCTTACGGTGGAAGTATTGCATATCAGCCTTTGTGGCGGGAGGAGGGAGGAGGGAGGTGGTTTTTGTGCCAAACTATTTGTCTGTCTTTTTCGATACATGCTTGCCGAGGGGGTTCCCCCAAATTATCACCCAAACTACCCTGCTGGTGGTGCTCACACCGCCCAAGACTATGCTGCAAAACCTACCCTACACTGGGTAACACCGGGGGAGTTTCACATGGTATCCTCACTGAAAAGACTACAGTCATATCCGAAAATTCGACAGTAACACCCTAACACTACAATGCCTTGGCATGTTTTTGTAACGATACCCAAATAAAAGTACTACAGCAATCTCCTAAAATCCCACAGTGACCACCCAACGTACTCTCGTATGATCAGTTAGGCTGTGATTTCATAAAGATGCCCTTCTAAAAGCACAAGAGTAATAGTCTATCATACTACAACCCCCCAAAATACTTCAGTAACACGACGATAACCTGGACTGTTTTCATAAAGGTACTCGTGCGAACATGCGACAGGAATACCCTAAAATACTGCAGTAGCATTAACCTGCACTGTTCTTCAGACACTGTGGTAGCAAGATGTCAGGATAACCTTGTAAAAAGAAATGTTCCAACATTCTTCAATGCTGCCCCAAATCCCGCATGGAGAATCAGCCACATAGTTGTGTGATTTTCCAATTCTTCACACAAAACTATTTTGGTTTTTGTCACGGGTCCAATTTTTCTAAAGATGCTTTTCCTCCAAAAAAAGTCACTTTACGCTTGCCATGTTTCTGGCCAGCTCCTTGGAACCGATCAGTTTCCATGCAAGAGGGGATCTATTATGCAGCATCAAAAATGTATTTACCTGACATTAGAGAATCATAGAGTACTAAAACTGCGAGGAACTTCAAGAGGGTCTTCCAGCTCTGGGCGGGGAGAGAGGAGTGAGGGCAAAAGGGCTGCGGGAGGACGGGTGAGTAAGAAATGTGGGGCTCCATGCCCCAGTGTGCGAGAGGGGTGTGGGGAAAGGAGGGGAGACAGGGGGTCCATGGCTGCAGGTTGCCCACACCTGACCTCGACCGTCCCTGACAGATGTCCGTCTAACCTGCTCTTAAAAATCTCCAACGATGGAGACTCCACAAACTCCCTAGGCAATGTATCCCGGTGCTTCACCACCCTGACAGGAAGTCTTTCCTAATGTCCAACCTAAACCTCTCTTGCTGCAATTTGAGATTGCCCATTTTAACCCCCCCCCCCCTGAGTTCTTATGTATTAGCGGTATTATAACATCTGGGAGCCCCAATCATGAGCCGGGGTCCCCTTGTGTCAGGCGCTGTATATCAGATGTACGATTGCGACACCTGCGGGTCCCAGTCATGGGCCAGATCCACTTCATGCCCGGTGCTGCCCAAACATAGAATAGACTGGTGTCCACTGCCACGATTAAACAAATCTTTCCTGAGCAACTAGGAAGATGAAAAATCCATCAAATTCCAAATGAATCAGGCCAAAAATAGCTTCCAGATTTTCCAAATCCCATGACATTTCTTTCCTCCACTGCTGGAGCTAGCCGTTTAGTGAGATGTAGTATTTGGGGTGATCACTCTGCAGTGCCGTGGGAGTTTTGGATGATCAGGATAGCTGAATAAAAAATACCCTTATAAAAATACTGTGGCATCATTCAGTAACTGGGCAAAATGCTGCAGGAAGATTACCATACGTTGTAGCCTGTTCGGATTAGCGCCCGAGTGCTGTCGAGTTTCGGATCATCTGCAGGATGCTGTAAGTCTAACCCCGCTGTGCTACACAGCATGGGGGGAGGGATGTCATGCACGCACACTGCTGTAATTTGGGGTCCATCCTGCAGAATGTGGTGAGTTACGCTCCAAAACAATTCCAATTGTAAATTATTTCTCTCGCGCTCATCTGGAAAACCGCCCCGTGCTTGTTTTAAGGTACAGCCTGTGGCAAAGTCAATATTCAGATACGGGCGTGTTTGTGGCTCGTCGCTAAAGGCAGTGATGGGTAGAGAATTGGAGTCAAATTAGTCTGCGCTGCTCTGTGCCTCAGTTTCCCCATTTGTATAGTAAAAACAGCAGCTTCTTTTGCAGCGCGTTTGGAGCGCTCTAGAAGGGCAAAACCCTGGTGGCACTATTGCTCACAGCAAACCCTTAGAAAATACGAGCGTTCACCAGGACTGTCCCAAAATACGGCAGCGTGTGCAGCATCTTGAGGCTAAGGTGGAGTATTCCAGGCCCTTCCTAGGGGATCCGTTCCCTCTGCGGCATCTATCTGAAAAAGACCGGACTGTTTTTTTGAAGTGCCAAACTTTTTATTTATAGAGAACATGCAGCTACTGAAAGGGGGGGGGGGAGAGAATGAAGTTTTTAGATGTTCTACAAGATTTAAAAAAAAAATTAAAAAGGGAAAAAAAATAATATAGCGACGTAAATAAACGATAGCTCGTGTTAGTGGATCTGAACCCTGGGTCCTTTCTTAGCCGCTTTTGAAGAATATTAAATAAAATAAGTATAAAACGCATCATAAATGGAAAGAGAGAGTCATGGGGCCGGGTTGCCCAAGGGCGTTAGGCACATGGCTGCAATTTTTTTGGTGCCTAATTCTCTTGGACCCTTGGGCCCCAGGTCTCTAGGCTGTCTGTCTCAGTGACTAGGGAGCGAGACCTCTCCCGAGTGCTGGTCCTATGTGTGTCCTGCCTGGTGGCTCCAGGGGACACCTTGCAGTGTCTTGTGTCTCCTCTTCCTCCCCCTTGCTGCTGTCTTGTGGCCCCGAGGGTAGGGGCTGGGGCTGGCATTCTGAAACACCAGCAGGGCGCTGGGGCCGCTGTAACTCGGTCTGCGCCCGTGGGTGACTCCAGGGTGCAGGGACCGGAGGAGAGAGGCAAAGGCTGTTGTTTGTGGGCGGGGAAGCCGAGCGCGGTCCCCTTGGAAATCCACCTCCGGCTGCCGTCAGGGGTGGGAAGTGCTTGGAAGTGGGAGAGCCGGCCTGCCCACCACTCGAGGGGCGCTCCCCCAGCCAGCTGGCCCCTCCAGCCACGGTGCGAGCCCTTAGCAGCCCCTCCAGTTTAGGCTCTGTCTTGTCCCGTGGGCATCAAAGCCAGGCCTGTGGGGGCGAGGTTGAGGGGCCAGGTCCCAACTCCCCCTTGGCCTGTGGGGGGCCAGGAGTGGCTTTGGGAAGAACAGCCCCTGGCCAACTGGTGCAGAAGCCGTTCCCCAGGGGCCAGGCAAGATCTGCTGCTGGTGGAGGACCAGCCAGAGGCCTGGATGTGGGTCCCCCACTTTTTCTACCCTTCCCGCCGTCTAAACAGACGCGCCTGCTTCTGCCCCACACCGCTCTGGCTCTGGGAGCGTTTGCAGTGCCAAATGGAAGTCGTGCTCGCTCTCCCCGGCCTCCACCCTCAGCGGAGCGTGGGGGGCGCTCTTGGGGGAGGGGAGGCCACTCCGGTTGGCGGCGCTGGGGCGCCCCCTCTTGTATTTATAGGCAATAAAAGTCCAAGACTGGAGCAGGAGGGGCGGGGTGGAGACAAGCTTGTGCTTTGCTCTGAGCCGGCTCCGGGTCCCCCTGTGCTGTGCGTGAGCGCCTTGGGACACTGCGTCTCTGTCTGGGAGTCTACCTATAACCCGCACGCCCCGGGAGTGGGGGGGGGGCAGGATCTCAGCTGGGAGGGGCGGACAGGCACCCCTGTCTTGTTTCCATTTGCTCACCAGTACCTGTTCTCTCGCATCTACCATGTCACTGTTTGATCTCCCAGAACGTGATACTGACGAGAGCAGAAGGAGGCACCAGCCCGCTCTGTCCCCGACCCCTTGTGTTTGTCTCTCGAAATAGCCCCTGATCATTCTAACTCCCTTTTAATTTCTGTCCGGACATCCATCTGGAGCACCCCTCCATACACATCGATGAGTTCAGACACACTGGCAACACACAAATCTCTATAAATATATATAGCCACACTATATATATCTATATATCCAAAAGCCTACACAGCGAGGGACTAAAGACACAGTAGCCGGCTACCTCGGGACTGCTTTTCTAAATCCACACTCATCTCCTCTGCATCGAGAACATTTCTAAGCTGGTTGCTTCTCAGAGACAACCTGTCACCAAACTCTGCCTCATCTGAACGGGATTCATCTCGACTTTTTGTCGCTGCTGCGGAGAGCCATCCTGTTTCCAACCACCGTCTCCTGAACTTTTGACCTCCACCCCACCCTCATCTTGAACTTTTTAACGCCCCCTCCACTTCCCCACCCCCCTTTTTCTGTGTCCATCAACTCTGTTTTCTGGATTTTTTTTCCCCCTCCCTCCCCCGCATCTTCCATGTTAAAAAGATCAACCAAGAAATTCTATATCTGACGAGTCTCTTTCTAGAGCAATAGATATAGAAAGGAAGCAAAACAAAGACTGTTGAATGGTCACCCATAATCTATTCACTTGGACTGTCAGAGCCATCTCATTTTTTCCCAGGGATGAGGGGTGGGGAATGGTTTTTTTCCCCCCTTCCCTTTAATCTCATTGCTTCATTGTAAATACTCAGTTTTGTTCAAATGTCAGAGGGAGAAACCTTTTGCGTTCAAGGTCCAAGAGGAGCTGATGCATAAAAATGTTGGTGCTTGGATGGACAGGGTAGGGTGACGCTGTCTCAGAAAAAGAGGCTTTTGTGGGGAAGAAACCTGGCAGGTGACTCTAACCACTCCCCGGCCACATGGTCAGGCAGCTGTGCTGAGAATCAAGCCAAACAAGGATGTATGGCTGGAGGATGTTGTGAAGGCCAAGACTATAACAGGGACTAGATACATTCACAGAGGATTGGTCCATTAGTGGCTGTTAGCCATGCCAGGCAGGGATGCTTAGCAGAAGCTGGGAACAGGTGACAGGGGATGGTTCCGTGTTCTGTTCCCTCCCTCTGGGGCCCCGCACTGGCTGCTGCCGGCCGACAGGGTTTCAGAGAGGAAGGCAGGAGAGTCTGGTTCAGCCAAGCCAACGAGCAGTCCGGTGGCACGTTACAGACCAGCGAATGCGTGCAGGCGTGCGCGTTCGGGGGCTACAACGCGCTTCGTCGGGATTTCGGAAAAGGCAGCGTGATTCATTAGGAATCCGTGCTAATTACACCAGGGCTGCCCAGCCTCTGGGGAAGTGAACTGTCGCTCACGAACGCATCTGCCCGTAAAGAATTCCTTAAAGGGCCACCGGACTGCTTGTTGGCAGACAGGGCCCTGGGTTAGATGATCTGGCCCCGTCTGGCTGCTCTTATGGAGAAGGCTGGCGGCCCCTTTCTTCCCGGCAGGACAGGGTTTGGTTGGGAAATGAAGGGCTCAGTCGGCAAAACTGGGCAGGCTCGACTGGCCCGTTTCCCACCTTTAAAGGAGATGGTTTGACGTGGGAGGGGGTTCAGGAGTCAGGACTTCGGGGTTCTGTTCCCAGCTCCTGGAGTGAGGCTAGTGTAGGCCCTAGAAGAGAGAGCACGAGGAGCCAGGTGTCTGGAGGTCAACTGCCTCTGGGAGGCAGTGGAGTTGAGTGGATAGAGCAGGGGTGAGCTGAGAGTCAGGGGCATTACCCCCGGAGTCATTTCAGGGCTCACAAGCCAAATCTAGATGCTCAAGTCAAGCTTGTGCGGGGGAGACCTACTGATCTCTTCTGGCCTCAATTCCCTGAATTGTTCTTGGATGGCAAATCTGTCCCAACGAGAAGGCCAACGCCTCCTCCCGCCCCCAGCAGAAGCAGGCCAGACAGGTTGGAACTCTCAAAGCCCGACATGTTTTATGAAACAGCCTCTGGTCGTTTTTTTCTCCCTCTCCATTGACTCTCTCTTTAACGGCCTATTTATTTGATTCATTCTTTATCATTTTTTTTTTCTGGGGCTGGGTGGG